TTCTCCTAATACTTTTTCGGTTTTCCGGATTCTCGATAAATTCTTGGAATTTTAGATAGTGCCACCTCTTTGCTGATCATGTTCTCCTGATACTTTTTCGGTTTTCCGGATTCTCGAAAAATTCTTGGAAATTTAGATAGTGCCACCTCTTTGCCGATCATGTTCTCCTGTTCTCCTGATACTTTTTCGGTTTTCCGGATTCTCGAAAAATTCTGTCTAAATTTCCAAGAATTTTTCGAGAATCCGGAGAACCGAAAAAGTATCAGGAGAACAGGAGAACATGATCGGCAAAGAGGTGGCACTATCTAAATTTCCTAGAATGTAATAGATACTTCTGAGAATTCCTAGAATCTGAATTTCCGAGAATTGTTTCCTGAAAAATCGAAAAAGGGGAACGTAACCGATGACAAGGGTAACATTAAAATTTCACAAATTTTCTAAGGAATTTCCGGAAATCATGATTTAAACAATGTCTAAAGTTGTAAGTGTTGAGAAAAGTTAGACTTTAAATAACTGTTACAATATATTTTCACTGGCTGCACCTTTTCAACTACAAGAAACAGTCCTATAATTAAAACGGAGATTGCCGCCAATCCATTTAAACTTCGATAGTAATCAAAATGGTCCTGCCATCATCCATCGCACACGAATATCTAGATACGACACTTCTAAAGGCCTGTGTCCATGATGCTAGAACTTGATCCAAGTTTTAGTTCCGTCGGTTCCGTCCAAATATTTTTTACGTCCACGTTACAAAGTAATCGAAAAGTGGTTTGTAAACATTTATCTCAATTGTTGAAGGCGCGAAATTTGAATGGAAGTTTGTTTACGTCACAAAATATACCTAATAATTTCAGAAATTCTGGAGACGACCTTTTATCTTATATTCCTCTGCTACTTGTCCGAAGTGTAAGGAGCAAATATCCTGTCTGATGTAGAAATTGATACAGATGGACTAGCAATAATATTTTTCACGCAAGTGCAGAAACGATGGCTGATAGGTCATAGTTCGTTTTGACTGCGAGTGCCGACCTGTAAACACCAACCTGTGTGCTGAGCGAATATTCTGCATCTGTCTGTTACTGCTTAACGCTATTTGCAAAGTGATGAACAAATAAATGATACGAACTAGACGAGCAAACGAAATTGAAGTAATTTTCCATTATTATTAGATATTTTTTGTATATGTGTTGCTTGTGGCTAGTTTGTAAACAGTGCTTACGGTCTTCTACATACGACTTAAATGTGTGTATGTATTTCAAATGTATACAATTGTATCACTGTTTGCAATTTTCATTTAGTATACAATGTAATTAAACCTTTATAAATTTCCACTCCTGTCGCAGTATTTCAACTAGTTGTGTCACCATGCAAGGCATTATATTTTATTTGTTCTGTTGCAGCTAATTGAAGAGGCATATAACAATGGCCGAGACAGATGTGTATAATTGCATGAAGATCCAAAGCAAGCCTTACAGTGTGAATGACATAGTCACGAATTTGTATAACAAGTACAACAAAAGTGCGGTTGAAAAGGCTCTAAATAAATTGGTGTCGGATGGGAAGGTGCTCGAAAAGGTGAAACAAGGATTTACACCCCGTGCAGGAATAGAATATTCACGATAAATGTTATTCTCATTTTGCCTTTAGGTCTACGGCAAACAGAAGATATATTGCGTCGTCCAAGAATCGACACATGACGTTTACGAGTTCATGAGGATCGAGAAGGAGCTAGAGAGTCATGCCAATGACTTTGAGAATAAATATCGGGAAGTCGCGAAAGAGGTGAAGGAACAGGAGGCACTTTTAGCCTCTCTGAAGTCGACTTTGACGTTGGAAGAGGCACAAAAGGAGAAGGATACTCTGCAACAAAGCGTGAGACAGTTGACACATAAATTGGACGAGTTGATGGAGTCGGACGTTTCCATCGAGGATTTGCAAAAGTCTAAACGAAAGGCGCAGGACAATCTAGATAAATACAAGCGCGAATATTTAAAGAGGAAAAAAATGTGCGTTGAAATAATAGACTGCATTCTGCAAAATTTTTCTGGCAGCAAAGATGAATTGTACGAGGAAATAGGTATAGATTCAACAACTGTGCCATAATCAGCGGTAGCTCGTCGTTCTCTAATCGTTGCAATTATTGTATTATTTTTATTCTTTGTCCTAAACCAACGGCATACTATTTTTCCTACTGGACTGCTTACGAGAGTCAATCAGGATTTAGTCTAAAGTTATCCGATTTAAAACTTGTTGGTTCTCGTAAGCGTCCTTGTGAAAAAGTAACGAAATAATTACTAGAAAATGATTGTATATCAGTAATTGAATCATTAGAAATTACTGATGTACAGTAATTTTTCAGTAATAATTTCGTTGCTTTTCCATAAGAGCAATCCAGCAGGAAAAATAGTATCATGTGCCATTGGCTTTATTTTCTTACGTCTTCATATTTCTATTTAATAAATCAAGTAAAATGTTTTGTTGAAATGATAATATGTTTATGTATTAAATGTTCATTTACATACGTATAAAAAGTTATATAAATCTCACTGCTGCAACAATTACTTATAAAAAAAACTCGCAAATTAAATAAAATTATATTAAGTTGCCAAGCATATGCTACGATATTATTTAAAAGTTTTTAATTATAGTAGACAAATCAACATTTATTTTGTGCGTTTATATTTGTTTACAGTGTGTTGCACTATTCAATGTTCAAGACTTCAATACGATTAGTACCAAAAGTTACATAAAAATTCACATATTAAGTTTCAGAGAAATACAAGTATAGAAAACTTAATTCTTTACGTTTAGGCAGTTTAAATCGGTATAAATTTAGTTTGCAATTGAGAATCAAATGTGGAAAATGTATACCGAGAAAAGTAAAATTTTTGCTTATACAATAATATGTAACTAATAGAGAAGACGATAGATTTTGGATTTTTCGTATGTGAAAAATTACAATATTCTAATATTATAACGCGAATATGCGTACATACGTGACTTTTTCTGTGTTTATACGTGTTAACTTCTATGTACAAAGAATTGAAAATTTTCAATCAGAATATAATTTATTCTCAAAAAGAACATAAAATATATTCCTAACATAACATGTATCTTTTTGCTTTGTTCTTATATGGTTCCCTATTAAAGCAGCAACAACGTGAAGTGCGGTGGTAGATATATCAGCGTGTATAGTGTAACAGATTGGAATATTTATTTGAGTAAAAGAAGTAATAATTCTTCACCACGAAATTTTATCTCGTGGCAAAAATTGCGTACACATCAAGAACTGACTGATAAATATGATCACAAAAGCAAGCCGATAGTAAAAGAAGATCGAACATTTGCATTCGTTAGTAATAATAAATTTCACATATTTTTTAATGTGTAATTTCAGCAAATCGATTTTACCTCGATAACATTAATATTTATTTTCACGCGAAAAGATTTTTCAGCTTGTCCTTCAGTTTGTCCTTCAGTTTGTGCAGCAATTGCATCCACGGAATCTTTCTGATTTTTTGCAGGGTGAACTTCGGTAGGAACTTCTCGAGTAATTTCTTCTTTTCTTTGGTTATTACTCCCTCAAGCACGCATTTGCCATTTAGACAGATCTGAAAATGTACCAGAAAATAAATTACATTTCTACGATAAATATTTCTTACAATCTTACCTTTGCGATATTAATGATAATAGTGTCTCAAGAGAATTTCGCTCTACTTATTGTTCAAGGATTTAAAATAAAATAACAGAATTCTCACCAAACCGTCTCCGCAAGAAGAACCTTCCGCTGCTGGCGCTAATGCTCTGCAGTAGTCATCGATTCCAGGGTATGCGCACTCCAAGCGAGTGCAGACCGTAGCGTCTTTCTATAAATAAAATATACTCTCCTGTCTTGGCTCTTACATTCTTTATTTCTTCGAATTGTGATTTCACGTCAGAGCTTATGAATTTTATTGTTTAAATTACGTTTATACTATAACGTAAATTTTCTCAAAGACAAAGCTAATTTTACTGATTTTATAAAGATACATGGAAATTACAGTTTCAACCTACGTTACATGCCCGCGTACCGAAGACCTTCATGCACTGATCGTCCAAGGACAACAGAGTCCCGGGCAAAAGTCGCGTCACCGGTGGACCTGTTGCAGGCTCGTTGTAAAGACACTTCGCTCTGTCCTCGCTGAAATAATTCTTAACTAAATACCATTTGTTAACAAAAGAAAATTAACATGTAAAATGTTCACACGTGTCATACGTACGTGATGAAATCGTAGAAGGCGTTTATGCTGCACGAGGACCATTCGAAGCCGTTCTCGTGCAACATCAGTCCGCTGGTCATGATGAAGCCATCGTGAGCCGGACAATCTCCGGCGCCTTTCGGGTTACCGTCGTGCCGTGCTCCTATTCTGCAATGCGAGACAGGGTCATTCCTTTATCTCATCATTCTTAAATTAATACTAAAACAATTATTACTGTGAAATACTTATCTTTTATTAACAGAGGGATTATTTACCGTGTAAAAAAACCACGTGAAATAAACGTTTTTTTTAAAAAAAAGGCAAAAGAAAAGGCGCCAAGTATAAGCGCCATTCAATCAAGAAATATACAATTTAATTATTTGGATATATTTTGTTAGAAATAAAAGAACTCACGTGGAATGAATACTTCACGCAAATTGAGGGGCGAGTGTATTGAATTCAATTGTAGCATGATGAAATTTCTTGTCTGGTGAAAACTCGTGAATTAGATTCCTTACGAGCTCCTCTCTATGTTAACAGGAAAAGAGACTATGCGAAATGCGAGCATTGACTTACAGATGACCGATCTCGTGAGCCGTAGGGATGATACCGGAGAATCCACCGTTGTCCTCAACGATTCCTACGGCCTCGGATGATTGCTTCGTTGCATTTCTGTCGCATGCACCGGCTACGTAAGCGTATCCTACGGTCACAAATTTACTATTATTTCATATTCTTCCTTTTGGGATCACTGGGTGGCGAAATAAATATGCGGAAAGCTCCGCGTTTTGTCGTGTACAATATCTCAGCAGACTCACCCAAAGTCGACGTGTCGCAAAAGTCATCGGTGAGCATGTTGCACATGTCCAGACTGAAATCATATCGGAAATCATTCTATATCCAAAAATGAGTTTAGAATTGGTGATATAAAAGCGAGTTCTTTTTGAACTCTTCAGAATGAACTTTTTTGGAATTTGGTATGGAAAGAGAACTTATTTCGGGAATTCAAAAAGAATTCTCCGTGTTATTTGGAATTTCAGAAATGAATAAGAAAAGTATATAGAGAAAATCACCGATACTTACTGTGTCATCGCGATCGCAATGTCGTAAAACTCCGTCGGGAATCTGTTCTCGCGATAAAAGTAATCGGCCATGCTGCGTAGAGCTCGATCCGCGTCCACTGATGAAACTTCGAAACGACTGTTCTCCAGATAAGGCGTCGCATTTGGTTCCTGAAACACAATAAAGCGCTACGTTAAAAATAATTTTAGGAGTTGTCATCTTCTTCTTGACTTTTGATGCAAAATAACTGCAAAAGATTCATTTTCTGACGTAGCGTACATGCATTTGAGTGATAAATAATATTGAGCTAGAACTTACCGTGCCTATGACGATTCCTGCGATGTTAAATCGAATTTTGGGTGTGGTTAGCAAACGATACCTCAAATCGACTCCGTTCCAAAACGAGATAAGGTATTTTATAGTCCGCTCGATATCTTCGCCGAGTAATCTGTGACAAAGCGAAAAATTAATAAAAAAATAATATATATTCGTTATAAAAATTACTATTGTTTGCAATTTACGTCTGGTGTTACATGTCATTTTACTCACTTGTATATGGTGTAGTCGGCTACTACCATGACTTCGGGATAAATGATATCCGGTGCATTGCGTTTCACCCTATGGCCCTCAGGATCTGTAATCTCTGGAAGAATATTAATAAAACCGTGAACCGACCTGAAATTCCAGAAGGAAATCTATTCAGCGAGAAGTGCCTCGTCGATCGATGTCGAAACGACGTTGGGTCGACATCGATCGACGGAATCATTTCTCCTTGGGTATATCTATAATTCTCACGTAGGCATTCAAATAGCTTACTCAGATCTGTGTACTGGTCCGACGAAGGTACCTTGTACACCACATGATGATGCGTGTAGGCGAAGTCATCGTCATTCGTCACGTTCTTCGTATGATGCGGCTCGTAGAGATTGTGTCCTCCGTAAAGAACGTGCTTCAAAACTCGTTGCGGCAAGGATTTGATGACGTAGGTGTTATTAAGCACTCCGTCCTGCAGGAAGGAAAATATTTGATATTTCATCTTGATAACATCTGACAATGAGATACAGTGGAAGAGGCCTATGTCCAGGAGTGGATGGCAAAAGAAGAAGAAGAATTGAGATACAAAAGTCCAAGCCTTACCAAATGTACTTGGCCATCAGGGGTGGGAGTTAGTAAAACGGCGCTCGAAGTGTGTACGTCTTGAAGCGGAATCCCCACATAATCCATAGCCTGCGAAAAGAAGACAATTAATCAGTAAAAATTTTTCAACATCCATCTTTCGCGTGTAATATTTTTTTACTAAAGATGTAACAATACTTGTTTTCCCATTCGATCGCGAACGTACCTTGGGTACTTGCTTGTACTGCAAGCCCTCTGATGCTTGCGAATCGCTAGAAGCGGTCCACACAGGCGTGTTCTCAGTCGCGAGGATACCATCCGTGGGATTCAAGTACAATCTAACGTCGTCGTTGAAGACTTTCAGCTTCAGCTCGTTCGTGCTTTCTTTGGAATCGGTCTTCTTGAACAGGCGGCGCAATACGGACACCACTTCGTACTTAGGTACTGAAAGTTAATATAAATCGAGATTATAAAAACTGCACATAGAATATTCTGAAATTAAGAATATTTGCACTCCAGAAGAATATTCATAGAACTATGTGTGCTATCTGGGTTGTTCCATCGTAATATACTATCGCGGTTATATTATCTATTAATAATTACTGAATTAATAATTACTGAATAATTACTAGGAAGAGTTTACTTTGAAAGAAAAAGAAAAAGTTTGGTATCAAAACAGCGCTATGAAAGTAAAGAATATCTTTCTGCAGGGGGAGAGACACCTTGTCCACTCACCTTGATGATGCGGCGTGTGAAAAACGGACATCACTTCGTCCGGCGTCATGTACTCGTGAAGCTGAAAACACATCCTTTGATTTCTAACATTCTGATCTTGCACTCACTTCACTGCTACGCGAACAAAACAACAAGGTTTTACATTTAATTGTAATTCGGAATATTACCTCCTTGCATTGTGAAAACGGTATCCCAGCCAGACATAACAGAAATATCGCGCGGAACATGTCTATGGATGCCTCCGCGAAAGGCGGTCCTCGAGTCTCTCGCAATTTCGCCGAATCGTTCGGGATCAATTAATATCGGAATTGCAAACTGCGATCTCTCTCGCGTGTCTTGATATTCTCGTATATCCTGACTCTTCGGCGAGAGAGCCCGTAGCCCGAATACGAGCAAGGACCATTTCGCGCCCCATATAAATTAGCTGGCCGATGTTTGATCTGCGCTCGCGATTACATGGCGAAACACTTGTACATATAACTTATGATTTGCACGCGAGCACAGTAATGAAGAAAGAATTATACAAATTCATAATTCTTGTGTGTGACACGACATGCGTGAAGACCCAATCAAGGAATTAAACGTCTTGTCAAGGATCAAGTTGGAGGATTGAATCGTATTTTTTATTGCCCAAATAAAAAGAGCTATTTTTATCATAGAATACAAGCTATTTTATCTCGGCAAAAATTTATGAAGAACAACACTGAAAAGTAACAGGGGAAAGAAAGTGAACAAGACCATGACGGTGCTTAAAGGATGAGCAATCATAGGAAAATAGCCATTTCAGGCAGACGCTTCTATCTGTAAGAAGCTGTTGATAATCGACGAGCATAATTCGCATAATTCTCTCGAGAAAAAGAAAGAAAAGAAAGTTAAGAAGATACAACCTATTAATTGCACCGTGACGTTGGATCGTCGATCCACATTTGATTGATGTATGTGCTTGTCCAACACGTAATTTCTTGTAAATAATTATTTTTTCACGAAGAACGTCTTTTCGAATTCCTCCGTTTCGCGCCCGCTGACGTTCTACATCTGCTCGCTGCCAAATAAATCGTTTATCATGTGCTTACGGATTTCGATATATGCGTCCGTAACGCATGGAGATACATTCTCGTATCTCATCTACTTAATTGCAGATTCGCGTCGATTGCACATGCGACAGTTGACAAACTCGGAGATAAAAAATGTTATGTCTCGTACACGTTACGTCACGAGGCGCAGTAGCATTTGTTCTTGTTAGCGTTAATCGATCATCGATTGTTTGCCTCACTCGACTATAATATTATTCCATTTTCACGTGACTCGTCTTTGTATTGTCCTTTTCCAGAATCTCTTTTATCGTTTCGGCCTTCATTTAGTCTTCTTGACAAAGTTCTAATAAAGCGTAAAACTATACAAATTGTTCATGACTATTTTAAAGACTACGCCTTATTAACTGAGTACGGTTCGCAATGGCTTTCCTATCCTCCACTTATTTTTAAAACTATATACAAGTTCTTTTTATATATGTCAGTTAATCATACATCTAGAAAGCAACTTAGAGCCCGGATAATACAAGGTTCCTTTCCAAAATACTTCGGATATTCTATATTTCTCTACATTGTAATTTATACATATATTACATATCTAATTATGTAAATTATACATATGAGGCTAGGAGAGGAAAACGAAAAGTGTCGTAATTAAGTATTCCCTTGTTTATTGTCTTGCGCTATACAATTTCCGTAATGTCCGAATGGCTTTATCCGCGCGCGCGCGCTCGCGAGAGATATACGCACGACGCACCTGTGCCTGTGTAACGAGTCTTTCGCGAGATAGCTCCTTATCGAATAAATATGAACGCAGACGAAATCTCCAACCGTACCGATTGACAGTCCGCTCCGTTTTAGAGATTCACTACATCGTTCGGCACCTCTGCGAAGATTTCCACGGGTACCGTATTGTATAAGAATTGAACATCTGGAGGTTTATGCCAGACACGCAGCTACGTTTGAGGGTCGAATGTGATCGTCGCGATCAAAGAACCGCACGAGGGCCCGACGGAGATTTTCTCTACTCGCGAAAAAAACAAAGAGAAGAAAGAGATGAAACGAGCGAAAGATCTTTCCCCAACTCCTTTCATTCCGTCCGATGCGGCGCTTTTCCGGATGCTTGCGAGTTACGACGGCGAGAAGCGACAGGGCTAAGATTCTCATCCGTGACGGGCGTCTCTAAGCGCGATGTCTTCGAACGAAATTGTCGAATCGATTTTTCTTTTTCTTTCTTATTTTTTTTTCTTGTCCTTAATTGTCATTATTTAATCAGCACAGATCGTCTTCAGGGACGCGCAGCAGCGACTCTTCACAGATTGTAAATGGCACAGCCATGTTCTCAGCCTGTCAATCACCTCCGCGCAATCTGACCCCACGTCCGTGCATTCACCGGCCTCTAGTCCTGGAAGCAGACGAATGGATTGGTGTACGAAATGCGATTTCACGTGCATTCGATTAGAATAGTTTTATAGAATGCCTGGAATATAGGAGTAAGTGATGTAACAATATAGAATTGAGCCAATGATACACGATACTATTTTTCCTACTGAATTGCTTACGAGAATCAATGAGGATGCAGAGTTTTAGATCAGGTGACTTAAGGCCAAATCCTGACTGGCTCTCGTAAGCGATCCAGTAGACGAAATTCTCTCCCTGTAGGAAAAATAGTAACGTGTACCGTTGTCTTTATTAGTAATCCCATCCGTGGAAACTACAATACACTTATCGTCATTTTTACGTCCACAGATATTACGTAAAAGTATTATTCATGTTTCACTGTCCCACTAGTAAATTTGTTGAAGAGAAATGTAAAGAGCAGCGGGAGATGTGTCCGCGTTTGCGATGCTTGTGTGCATCTTTGTCGAAGAAACAACGAGAAGTATACAGACCCTTCGCTCCTATCGGATCAACGTTAGATTCTACACTCGCGGTTTATCTAAAGATTGACTCGATAGGAGAAAGAGGCATTTACAAAGAGGATGTACAAAATATATACAAGAGAGATGAACTGTTAAACTCCGAGTTAAATTTAATCGACATTATTACATTTTAATGAAACTGAGAACAAGCGTTAACGAGAAAGAATTAACGATAAAAGACCTTTATGGCTCGTGAGATCGGTCGTATGAGACGGAAACTTGGTTTGCAACACTTCTGATATTCCATTAGTGACATTAGAGGAAACATAGAGAAGCGAAGACATATTTTACACAAAGTGACGAAACAGTTTTCAAGTATCGGCAAGTTTATCGGAGACACGATCGATGGAGAAACGACAGTGTACAGAAACGTGTCGGAACCAATGTCTCTCGAAGAGTTCCTCGCAGGCAGGACTCGCCGCCGTGGAAGTGGACAGAAATAGGAGAGACACGGAAAGTATAACGGGACGGACTCCGAGAATCCGTCGCGCTAACGGCGAGAGACGAAAATCATGCAAAATTAAAGACTCGTCCGGAGAGTCGGAGGAGAAGATAGAGAGAAGAAGAATAAAGGGTACAGCGATGTGGTGGAGGATTCTCTTACCGCGGCCGTCATTTCGAAGGCCGTTCTGATATCCTTTGGTCGTCGTGGAAAGCGACATCACGCTGACCGTGCTCTTATACTTGAACGGACTAAGTTTCGGACCGTAAGTGACCTTCGGAGTGGTACTGACGGTGTAATACGAGTTGAAGAAATCGATGCTTCTCCTGGTGGTGGTGCTGACGCCGCCACCAGTGTTATTATCGTAACTGCTATTATTACTGTATCTAGTCTTGTACTGATCGGTGTGCAAGTTATTGATAATCGCCCGCGTGTATTTTGACACCGTGGTTGCGAACGGATTTGTCACGCGTTTGTAAGGATTAGTTGACGTCCTTAATATCGTCGTCGTCGTCGTCGTCGGTGTCGACGCGAATACGCTCGAAAACGGCATGCTCTGTGTCGATTCCCAAGCTGGGTACCTGTGTGGCAATATCATCATGGTATTACTGTATGTCGTGCTGCATCTTCGTGTCTACGCACCGTATGCTGCTAAATGGGGGTGTCAATATCGGTAAACCGAATCAACGGCCTTTCATCATAAATATGTTGATTCATCCTTACGTTGAAGTTACTATATGCTAAAATGCATGAGTGGGCCATCCAGGAATACACTTGTCGATATTGTTCAACGAGTGTCGCTTCAATCCTCAATTTCTTTTTATTTTACAATATGTTCGTAATATTCGAAGACATTTATTTATATCTTCAAATTACCGTGCAGAAGCTTTGCGTTTCTTTTGACGAACATTAGGAAGATTAAAATCGAAACGCAAGAGGAAAGGTTTTTCATCATTTGCACACACGTGCCAGTGAGAAATGATTCGTCGAAACGATGTCAAGTCGACACCGATTGACGAATCATTTCTCGCCGGGGTGGCATTTAAGGATCAATAAAATCTGGCCACTAGCTAGCTATGTGCGACTTTTGTGCTACACGTGTTGTTAGAAAACAAGAGGGAATCACTCTCGAATTCTCGAGTCATTACCTGTAGTCTGTGCTGTTGTAAT